TAAACAATCATTATAAAAAACTGACATTTTAAATTGATAAAATTATATCATTGATAAAGTTTGAAATTACCTGCATATACTTCCCAAAAATGCATATTGCATTTCTGTATCTTTGTATCATCTTTATAAATGTATCTGAAGGCGTTGTTAAGTTACTTAAACTTATATTTTTCAAATGAAATTTATTTAATCACTTGTTACGCTTCCATCGAATACTATGTTTAGGTTACGTTAAGACTAATCAAAACAGATTAGTGAAATACACTATTTAGTAACATACGAATATATTTACATTAAGATACTTCCGTTAACTGAAAAAGTATATAATTATAACTAGTTTATAATCTTATATTGTTTAAACAATAAAAATATATGTATTATATAATTGAGAAAGTGTTATCAAATGATGACGTTATAATTAACAAATTCTATTAGTTGCTGTTTTTCGAAAATTCAAAATAATATAAAATAAAAATATGAGTTATATAATAGAAGATAAGTTACGGGAAATTATTTCTTAAATATGAAATTTACAAATAAAGTATGGTATAATCATTAAATACATATAGCATTTAATATATCTTTATTCAATATCTATTTAAAATATTCACCTACTACTTACAAAATAAATGCAAATAGGTATATATAGATATATTAATATTTTTGCCGAATTATTGGCATTTTTACCTATTTTCTTCTTCACTCTATCATTATGATATTACTTTTACATTGATTTGAAACGTAATGTGATTAATAAAATTTCATATACGTGTTTCTATGACTCGAAAGATCTTGACAACTCCGTGAGAATGATGTCTTGATTTCCGTTTCCTGATAGTTCCAAACTAAAGTATACATATACACGTGAGGAGCGGTAATACGTTTAATTTTAAAGAGAAACGTATCGAACAAAATCTTTCACAACATTGTTATTGAACAACGACGCCTTATTTTAATTTGCAATACCACGAATACACTGTATTCTGATTTTAAAGCTTTATAATCACTGAATAATTTAATATATTTTTCTTTGGATAAGATAGGTTATGAATTCAAAATTGTACTTTATATTTATAAATGTGTATGATTATAATATTTAAAGAAATACGCTTTATTTAAAGAACGATGTTAATTATGATCCATATATATTTCGGAATAATATAAATTATTACAAAATGATAATTATCATATAAATTAAAATTTCTTAAAATTAAATTAAGATATTTTGAAAATACATACGTTGAAAGCAAGAAATAAAAATGGTTAAAGCAAAGAAGAAATCATTATCGGAAGTTTCCCAACAAATACGTAATCAACAAAAGAAGAAATCTTTGAACCCATTTGAAGTGCACGTAAATAAGAACAAACAAAATGTATTGGGTAGAAAAAGCAAGACGGATGAAGGTCTCCCAGGTGTATCACGTGCAAAAGCAATTAAGAAGCGAAAAGAAACGCTTCTTCAAGAGTACAAATTAAAAAATAAAGATAATTTATTTTTAGACAGGCGTATAGGTGAAAAGAATTTATCCCTGAACGAAGAAGATAAAGCTTTGGCTAGATTTGCAGTAGAACGTATGAGAGCTCATAAAAAAAAGAATATTTATAACTTGAATGATGATGAAGTATTAACACATAAGGGTCAGACTTTAGAGGAAATTGAAAAATTTGATGACCCAAAAAGTGATGATGAATATAGCGATGATGAGAGTAGAAATGGTAAACTGGATAATAAGTTTGTTGGTGAAGCTCACTTTGGTGGTGGTATTTTATCCAAATCAGGATCTGAAAAGTCTAGGAAAGATCTTATAGATGAGCTTATAGCTGAATCAAAAAAACGCAAAGCTGAGAAACAGAAAATACGTGAACAAACTATAGATTTAACAGAAAAACTTGATTCTGAGTGGAGGGATCTCCTTCCAATTGTTTCAGCAACTAATAAGAAAGTTAAAGAAGAAACTACAGAGACAAAGGCTGATGATTACGATATTGCAGTACGTAAGTTGAAATTTGAGGCTAAAGGTACACCATCAGATAGATTAAAGTCTGAAGAAGAGATTGTAAAAGAGGAAAAGGAGAAACTGGAAGCTTTAGAAGCAGACCGGTTGGCAAGAATGAAAGGACTTGTAAATAATACAAGAAATGAGATTAAACACAAATCTGCAGATGATCTTGATGATGGTTTTATGCTAGAAACTATAAATGACCAAATCCCAGCAGATGATGATGGAGAAAATTTAATTGAAGATGTACAAAGAGGTTCAAATAATGAAGAGAATATAAATATTCAGGGAGATAAACAATTAAATACTACTGCAATGAATGACCTTATTAAGAAAGAAAGGAAAATAGAGGAAAAGAATTCTGTCAAAAGGGAATTAGCTGAAAGTTCTAACGATGAAATCTCAGAATCTGAAAGTTCTGAAGAAGATAACTTATCGGATTTGAAAGAGTCAGAATATTCTAGCGAAGAAGAAAAAGAGTTAAACGAAAGCAATATGATAATTGGTTCAAAAGGGAAATCAAAAACTAGTGTTCTGAAGTTGGATAGTGAAACTAGAGAGCAAGAAATTAGAGATGATCTTTTAAAAATGAAAAATATGGAAAGTGCAAGGAAGGAATTACCTTACACTTATAAAATGCCAGAAAGTTTTGAAGAGTTACAAGAATATTTGCAAAATTATAATGCTGATTACCAGTCAATTATCGTAGATCGTATAATTAAGTGTAATCATTGGTCACTGAATAATACAAATAAAGAAAAGTTATCAAATTTATTTTTGTTTTTATTACAACATATAAATGATCATGTTATAGGAAATGATGTTGAAAATATAGTTAAAGGTTTCCAAATTATGGATAGGTAATATATAACTTTTTAATAAAATTTAGTTACTTGTATTATATCTATATTATATTACACATACTTATTTCAGATTATCTCCTTTTTTATACGATCTTGCTCATCTAAATCCACAGAATGCCAAATCTGTTATACAAGCAATAATCAAAGAAAAGCACAATGAGTTTGAGAAAAATAAGAAGAGACACCCTGACCTAGATACAGTATGTTTAACATATAATTATATTAAAAATATATTTTCGACAGTATTAATTATAAATATAATTATAAATATCTTTTTTTTCAGCTTATTTTCTTTAAATTGGTTTCTTTGTTATTTCCAACATCCGATTTCAGACATCCTGTAATTACTCCCTGTGCAATATTTATGTCTGAAATACTATTTAGATGTCGTATTAAAAGTAAAATAGATATTTCAAAAGGTCTTTTTATATGTACTCTTATATTAGAGGTAATCGTTACTACTAGTGTTATATTTTTATAATCGAACATATTATGTGGAAATGCAATACCCTATATTAATAATATTTCATTCACATTCACAGTATACAGTATTAAGTAAACGATTTGCTCCATCTGTGTTAAATTTCTTACGTGGAATAGTTTACGTATCCACGCCTACACATTTAATACACGGAATAAAAATAATACCGCCCTTTAAAACAAACGGAAACTCGAGAAATTTATTAATACTTGATGAAGATCATGCTAAGTTTGATATTAATCCAAGTAGTATTTATATGAAAGCGTCTGATCTGATAGATGGCCCCATAGATGATGATTTCAGAATAAGAGCCTTATTAATAGCTGTAAATTTATTGCGTGAATTTAAAAACCATTTGGAAGAACTGGAAGCTGTGTATTCGATATTTGAACCAATTTTAAAATTACTTAAATCGAATTCTTTTGACAAATATCCACCAAACATGAGGAAACATATTATGCAATTGCGAAAAGATTTGGAAAAACTAAAGAATAAAAAATTAGAATACATTATGGTTGAAAAGAAGAAACCAAAACCATTAAGATTATACGAGCCACGAATTGAAGCAGTGTATGTAAAAATTGAATTTGTAATTTCAAATCACGTCGTTTTATAAATTCAAAAATGTTATTAAGTTTCGTATATTCTTTACAGATATGACGGTAAGAAACATAAGACTATGTCCAAGGAGAAAGCTGAAAGAGAAAAATTGTTGCACAAGTATAAAAAAGAAATGAAAGGTGCTATGCGTGAAATACGAAGAGACAGAGTTTTCTTAACGAAGCTACAAATAAAACAACAGATTAAGAGCGATGAAGAACGTAAACGCAAGGTGAAAGAAATCTTTGGCGAAGCTTCAGTGCAACAGAGTGAATTAAAGAAATTAAAACGGAAGAAATAATAGTAATAGAATAAACCGCACATTCTGGAGTCTGTATATATTATCTTTCTTAGACAATATTGATATTTTGAATGATTTTGTGCAAATCGCTATATTAGCGTTTTTTTTAAGATTATTATATATTATATTAAGATTATAATTTCATTAATTGTAATAAATGTAAATAAGCATTTTCATAAGAAAATCTTTTAATCTATTTCGTTTGTCAGAACAATACTGTAATTGTATGATACGGAGGTAATTCCTTATGGAAAAAAATTAACAGGAAACACAAAATAAAATTCTCTCGCCCGAGAAAATAAATAAAAAGTGTGATATAAAATTTGACAATTAGTTCTCCGCTTAATTTTCAAGAAAATAGAATTTAAACGCGTTTAACACTAGAACTACCGACATTTAAATATTTATATAATATAAGTGTTACGTCCTGTGACCTAAACGTATGTTCTAATCCATCCTTCAACCAAGAGGCTTAACAGCTGTTTTAACATTTGCTCGGACGCACAATATTCCATATAATCCCAAGGGCTATGGACAAATGGACAAATCACTATAGTCCATTCTTACTCACACATCTTTTGATCGATACAACAATTTCTATCTATCCTAAGATCTACTACCCTAATCCTAAGATACTGCTTGTAGAATTATTTTGCATTATTTACTAAAACGATCGAGACCAAGTCGAATAATCGTTGTTGCATCGGGACTGTATTACTTAGTGAGGTTAAATTTAAATAATGTAAATCCAATGAACCCTTGCCTGACTATACTATGTTTCCAAATATGCAAACATCGTTTCTACACTAGAATTAGCACGACGTTTTGAAGGTTTTGGCATGACAACCAATTGTTTTCATCCTGATCTAATAAGCACTGGAATCTGAAAAAGTGTCCCGCCTGCACTTCTTGGGGATTACATTTTTTGCTGAACACATTTTCCAAAACAGCCGAACAGGTCGCGATAACAACGATACATCTTGCAGCGTCCAATGGAATTAGTGGGATTTCTGACAAATATTTTTCGCATTGTTGTGTAAGAAAAAGTTGCCATAACTTTTTATTTAAAAATAGCATTTCTTAAATAACGATGATATCGTTTACTGCTACATATCATTAATTTTAGAAAACCGAACTTCCTCACTGGTTAAAGAATCCATCTCAAGGTAAAAAGTTTTAGGACTCAGCGAAACCATGGTGAAACTCCAACCATCAGATCTAAAAATATAAAAGTTCACATAAACATATTTTATTAATCTATGTACTTAAAAGCCGCAAATTTTCTATAATTAAAAGGCTTCCAATTCGTTAAACTTTTTGTACGAATGATTTATATTCAATTATCCCGCAAAGTAACAATTGACAAATAGTAATACATTTCTCATGTTTTATTTATATATTCTAATTTTATTAAAGAAAAAAAAGGATCACCGCACCTTATTGTACTTGTAACTTGCACTAAAAATATCCACTAATATTTACAATTCTTTGAAAATATTAATAAATACTTACTTATGGGTTTAATGTTTCACTGTACTTCGGACTGATGGTTCAGGAAACAATCTTTCCCATTCTCGCATTCTTTCAGGGAAGAACTCCGTTTTCATCGATGGATGAAGATTCAACTCTAAGAAATTGTTTTGCTCGGGTACAAATTTGTCCCACCTTACATTCCTCAGTTGACTATCGTGTTTAGGAATAGGTTCGCCATTTATAACGAAATTCGACCATATGCTAGTAGAAATTTCCACCATAGGGATCTCTGGTGCGTCGCTGTTGAAGTATGGGAAACGGCTCTTTATGAAGAAAAGATACTGCAGATCGTCATGATGACAAACACCTGAGGGACACGTGAAACGTTTAAAATATGGTCCTCATTGAGTTTCCAGACAAATGAAGAGTAAACAGTTTTACCATATGGTGTAGTGGCGTTCAACATATAAAAGCTGTATCGTCCTTGGAACGAAAATTTATAAAAGTATACCGGCAATTTCGAATACGTAGCGAATAACTTGATTGCTCGGTACATAGGGAATGTAATTATAGAATCACAATATATCTGAAAAGGATTTGATATTTTTTTATGATTTCAATGAAAGACAAATTACAATTAGAGCAAGAAGAGAATTTGATACGTACATCACCGAGCTCCTTGCTGTTAGCCGAGTTAATTGGCTGATCGTTGAAATAGAATTTCCGTAATTCCCTACTAATGTAATTCGATCGCGACGTATTACGTTCGTACATAAATATGATCGGAGCCAGAGTATTCCAATTATCGTTCAACTCAGGGTACACAGAATTACCTTCTTGTGTTGCATTTTCATAATCTGTGCAATTTAATGAAACAATTGGATATTCTCAATTTTCATATTTTTATAATACGTTTATACAGAATATCTTAATTCGAATACTCACACGCAACTATACCGCCAAATTCGTCTTCCGTAACTCCCATCATTAAAGGAACTTGATGGAATCTTCCTTGCTTTATCGCGTCGTACGGTTGTTCAGACAGGAACCTCTCGACACCAGGAACTTCCGGTTCCACAGCGGGTGTCCATAACAAAATGGGAGTTGCGTACCAATCCTGTTAAAAAAATAACATAATTGATATTTACACTTGCCAAGACTTTTATACAGCAGGTTTATATTGTTATATAGAACGTACGAATAAGGAGCCCAACGTGACTATGAAGTTTTCTACAGGTTTCGACCGTAAGCAATCTACCATAGCGCTGGTCGAGTCAGTGGAACAATTCAATAGTCGTGCCTGCTTCTGAACCAGTTGGATTTGTCCATGTTGCGATATTCCCGAATAGACCTCTAGTCCTATAGCCGAAGAACTCATCGTGATAGCTCTGTGAAAAAGATTGCGAGACATTGGAGACACCAAATGCAACATAATACTGAAACTTCCTGCGCTATAACCGCATAGAGTGACGGAGTTTGGATTGCCACCAAAGGCAGCTATGTTTCTTTGAACCCAACGGAAAGCTGCGACTTGGTCCTTTAGACCCATGTTACCTGGTGCTGCACTGTCACCGGTACTCAAGAAACCTGAAATAAGTTCAATTTATGTTTTGAAGTAAATTTTAATCCAAATGATAGGAGTGGATCGACTCATCATATTATAATTGAGGAGCTTCCTACTTTTAAAAAATCCAAATCCTATGAAAATTACTAAATTATTTCTAGAAAAATGATTTAAAAATAAATTGGCGAATCGAGTAAATTGATAACTTTTGCAGGAAGCTCCTTAATTACTTCCTTGGTTTATTTCAAATTACCTAACGCCCCAAGGCGATAATTTATTGTAACCAAAACAATATCTTTATCCAACAGATACTGTGGTCCAAAGTTTATACTTTGTCCTGAGAAACTGTAAAAGCCTCCTGGATGTATGAAGATCATTACCGGTCTCGATACGTTCTCGCTTTTACACGGTAGCTAGAATCGCAAATGGACTCTTAATGCAAAGATTCTAAAATCATTTAATTATGCACGCTAATTTGGTATAATTCACTACCTACTTTGGTAGTATACACATTTAAACGTAGACAATCTTCCGATACTAGTGTGCCATTAGATTGAGGACAACTGGGTCCTTCTTCGGTTGCGTCGAAAACGTTTTGCCAATCTTTCGCTGGGATTGGAGGCTATACAGTAATTCAAAAACACGAAATAAGAAATATAACGCACTTATTATAACAGTTTTATCTACTATGTAATTAACGAAAGTTATCAACTATATAGTTAACAATTACACAATTTGTGCTTAATCTCTTAGGATGTGCGAAATTGGCAACTTTACTACTGTATATTGTATTGTGAAAATGAGATCATTTGTAGGGCGGCTTGTTAAAAATGATTCAATGGCATAATATCGCGAATGCGCTAAAATAAGGAAGCTTGTTAAAACATTCTTCGAGTAATTGTACGTGACATTAATGAAAATACCTAGTCTCGATTTCCATGTCTTACATTTTGCAAACTATACTTTTAGAAACTGTTTCTACGCTCTTTATACAAGGACAACGCATAAATTGACACTGATGTAAAATAACAACCAGTTAAAGGATTTTTTTACCTGGAAACGTTGGGATCCAACAGGTGGTTCGCCATATCTTATACCACGGAACGAATAAATTTCTTTTCCGAGTCTAGAGGTCAAAATAGACCCACGAATTTTCCCAATTGGAGCAGTGACCAAAGGTTGTTCCGCGGTCGACTGTTGAGCGATAGCGAGGCCAGTGATACAAAGAAGAAATACAGGAATGCCTCTCATCTTAGGACTCGCAGCTTACTGTTTTGCTTGTCGGAACTTTCTTCTCTTTGGACGAAGAAGCAAGTTGATAAGATCAAATCAATTCGGTCAGCCGATCTCAACGGTGTTCGTGCAAGCACTGTAGAATCAGCTGACGAATGCGCACATTTTATGCGACAGCTTTGAGGAAAGTGAGTGGGGAAATCCAGTTTCCTTTCTGAGCAATATAATCTTCAATAAACTTCCACACAATGACACCTTTTATTACTCAATCAAGCCAACCATAATATTTCTCGATTAACATATTGTATTTATGAATATTTTTATCTTTTAATTGCATGCATTTTTATTATAGTAATCGCTATATTATGTAAATGTCGGACTGTCTCTCTAATAATAAATATATCGTTGCAAAAAATCAGTGTTACAAATGTTGTGAACTCAACACTCATAGCATGAAAAATCAAACAGACGATAGCGAATACGCCTCGACAAACAAATAGTTATGGTCAGATTATCGCAACAGGGTTTCACGATTCGTATCTTCCAAATTATCAAAAGGAAAGGAAAAAAAATATACTCGGCTGTTAATGAAAATTTGAAGTTCACATAAGCGTATATTTTTGACCTATGTATCTAAAAGCCGCGAATTTTCTGTCATTAAAACGCTTTGAATTCGTTAAACTTTCTGTACGAATAATTTGTATTAAATTATATACAGCAATGTTATTAAGAAATAATAAGATATTTCTCATATTTCATTTACACATTTGATTGAGAAAAATAATAATAGCCATTGATTTTACACTCGCGTAATGTTCATCGCATTTGAGATTTAGGGTGCAGGGAACAATCTTTCCCATTCTCGCATTCTTTCAGGAAAGAACTCAGTTTTGATCGATGGATGAAGATTCAGCTCAAGGAAATTGCTATGCTCGGGTACCAATCTACCCCATCTTACATTCCTGAGTTGACCATCGTGCTTACGGATCGGTTCGCCATTTATAACAAAGTTCGACCATATGCTGGTAGAAATTTCCACCATAGGGATCTCTGGTGCGTCGCTGTTGAAGTATGGGAAACGGCTCTTTATGAAGAAGAGATACTGCAGATCGTCATGATGACACACACCTGAGGGACACGTAAAACGTTTAAAATATGGTCCTCGTTGAGTTTCCAGACAAATGAAGAGTAAAGAGTTTTACCATATGGTGTAGTGGCGTTCAACATATAAAAGCTGTATCGTCCTTGGAACGAAAATTTATAGAAGTATACCGGCAATTTCGAATACGTAGCGAATAACTTGATTGCCCGGTACATAGGAAATTTAGTTATAGCATCACCATATATCTGAAAAAGATTTGATATTTTTTTATGATTTCAATGGCAAACAAATTACAATTAGAGCACGAAGAGAATTTGATACGTACATCACCGAGCTTTCTGTAGCTAGCCGAGCTAAGAGGCTGATCGTTGAAATAGAATTTCCGTAATTCCCTACTAATGTAATTCGATCGCGACGTATTACGTTCGTACATAAATATGATCGGAGCCAGAGTATTCCAATTATCGTTCAACTCAGGGTACAGAGAATTACTTCTTAATGTGGCATTTTCATACACTGCGCAATTCAATAAAACAATTGGATATACTCAATTTTCATATCTTTATAATGTATTTATACAATATATTTTAATTCGAATACTCACAAGCAGCTATACCGCCAAATTCGTCTTCCGTAACTCCCATCATTAAAGGAACTTGATAGAATCTTCCTTGCTTTATCGCGTCGTACGGCTGTTCAGACAGGAACCTTTCGACACCAGGAACCGCCGGTTCCACAGCTGGTGACCAGAGCACAATGGGATTTCCACGCCAATCCTGTCAAAAATATAATATCACTAATGTTGCTAGTTGTCCAGATTTTTACATGCTGGGTCTATATTGTTATATCAAACGCACATATAAGTCGCGTAATGTGTCTGTAAAGTTTTCTGTAGGTTTTGAGCGGAAACAGCGCACCATAGCACTGGTCGAATCAGTAGGGCAATCCAATAATCGTGCCTGTCTTTGAGCTAGCTGCATTTGTCCATGTTGCGATATTCCGGAATAAACGTTTAGTTTTATAGCCGAAGAACTCATCGCGATAGCTCTGTGAAAAAGATTGCGAGACATTGGAGATACCAAATGCAACATAATACTGAAACTTCCTGCGCTATAACCGCATAGAGTGACGGAGTTTGGATTGCCACCAAAAGCAGCTATGTTTCTTTGCACCCAATGAAAAGCTGCGACTTGGTCCTTTAGACCCATGTTACCTGGTGCTGCACTGTCACCAGTATTCAAGAAACCTGAAATAATTCGAATTTATTTTAGCAAATTCCTAACGCGAGTAAATTAACGTTGTTCGTTCTAATTGTGGAGCTTTTTTGAAAACAAAGTCTGTAAGACGAAGTGGGCTATATCAAATTGTAAAGGAAATTCGGTTTGTATTAGTAATTATTTCTTTTTATATTTACGAAATAAATAACAATTTCGTAATAATTTAATTATTCTTTAATTTCAAATCCTTTCAGAAAGCTCCCGCAATTACTTCTCTGATTTATGTCAAGTTACCTAACGTCCCGAGACGATAATTAATTGTAACCAAAACGATATCTTTATCCAACAGATACTGTGGCCCGAAGTTTATACTTTGTCCTGAGAAACCGTTAAAGCCACCTGGATGTATGAAGATCATTACTGGTCTCGATACATCTTCGTTTCTACAGGGTAGCTAGAATTGAAAATGTATGCTTCTTGCAAAAGTTCTAAAATTGTTTAACTGCGCGTGATATATTTATATGCGTGATATGTGGTGCCTACTTTGGTGGTGTACACGTTTAGACGTAGACAATCTTCTGATTGTTGTATGCCATTAGCATGGGGACAACTGGGTCCTTCTTCGGTTGCGTCGAAAACGTTTTGCCAATCTTTCGCTGGGATTGGAGGCTACACAGTAATTTAAAAACATGAAATAGAAAATGTAACGCGCATATGATAATAATTTCATCAACTATGCAATTAACGAAAGGAGTATTATGCAATTTATTGTTAATCTCTTAAGATGTGCGAAATTGATAGCTTTACTTCTGCAAATTGTACCGTGAAAATGGGATAATTTGTATGCGGGCTAGTTAAAAATGATTCAGTGGCATAATATCGCGAATGCGCTAAAATAAGGAAGCTTGTTAAAACATTCTTCGAGTAATTGTACGTGACATTAATGAAAATACCTAGTCTCGATTTCCATGTCTTACATTTTGCAAACTATACTTTTAGAAACTGTTTCTACGCTCTTTATACAAGGATAACGCATAAGTCAACGCTGACGTAAAATAACAACCAGTTAAAGGATTTTTTACCTGGAAACGTTGGGATCCAACAGGTGGTTCGCCATATCTTATACCACGGAACGAATAAATTTCTCTTCCGAGTCTAGAGGTCAAAATAGAACCACGAATTTTCCCAATTGGAGCAGTGACCAACGGTTGTTCAGTGATCGACTGTTGAGCGACAGCGAGGCTGGTGACACAAACAAGAAATACCAGAACGTTTCTCATCTTAGAACTCGCAGCTTACTGTTTTGCTTGTCGGAACTTTCTTCTCTTTGGACGAAGAAGCAGATTGATGAAAACAAATCAATTAGCCGGCATAGATCGTGCTCGTACAAGCACTGGAATAACCAAGTAGGCAAAAGCGAACAATTTATACTAGAGCAACGAGGTAAATAAGTGGGGAATTCCAAATGCCTTCCTGGGAAATATCATCTTTTGTAAACGCCCACACAAGGGCGCACTTTATTTGGCGTTGAAGATATCTATAATATTTCTCGACTAACAATAAGTGCATTTACTAATACCAATTCTCACCTTTTAATTACATGTCACGTTCATTATAACTTAGTATCGCTATACTATAGTATATATGTATATAGTATATATGTATATATAAATATCAGACTATCTTTCTAATAACAGATTTATCGTTGCAAAAAATAACGATATTACAAACGTTATGAGCTCAAAACTTGTAACATAAGCGCCAAACAAACGATAACAAATAAAGACATAAATATTTGCAACTGTGCCCTGACAGACAGCTAATTACATACAGATCGAAGATTCTTCAGATTCGTATCTTTGGCATTATCAAATAGGAAGGGAGGGATATTTCATCATGAATATCAATAATGATCTATATATTTATTAAATTGCTTCGGAAACAAAATTAATAGCCTTAAGAAGGAACATTCGGACTTTACATTGCTATGTTGCTTTGCTTTGTGATGCAGCGGATAGAGGAAATAATTTTTCCCATTCTTGCATTCTATCGGGATAGAAACCAGTCTTCATGGTAGGATTCAAGTTGATATCCAAGTAGTTACTTTTCTCGCTTTCAAACCTGTTCCACGTTATATTCCTACCATTTGGAATGGGTTGGCCAGTTTGTACGAAGCTGGACCACATAGATGTATACAGTTCCACCATAGGAATCTCAGGTGCAGTCTTATTAAAATATGGAAAGTTACTCTTTATGTAGTATAAGTATTGCAAATCATCTTGATGTTCGACGCCTAGAATTAGAAGAAAACAGTGTAATCAATCGTTCAACGTGATTATTGAGTGGACTTACCATAGGGTGTCGTAGCGTTCCACATTGTAAAGCTATAACGGCCTTGATAAGTAAATTTATAAAGATACACCGGAGCTTTGGAGTTTTCAGCTATTAACTTCGCCCCACGATATTGTGAAAATATAATTACGCTGTCCGCATAGAGCTGCAAATTGATTTTACAATTTCTTTGATTATCAATATCAACGGTGAATTTGTTAAAGGAGTAATTTAGCAGTTCATACATGAGCAAGACCATTTCTGTTAGACGAACAGAGTGGTTCGTCATTCAAATAAAACTTCCGCAATTCTGTACTAATATTTTTCGATCTTGGCGTGTTACGTTCGTATATGAAACTAATCGGTGCTACGCGATACCAATTCTCGTTCATATTGCGATATATGTTGCCATTGTTTCTGGTGACATTTTCGAACGCTAAAAGAAACAAGCGATCCGTAATTAGGGAACAGCTTCGATTATTTTATAATTGTGATTCAATTTACCAACTATGCGACTTACTGACGACTATCCCACCAAGTTCATCTTTCGTTACTCCAAATATGGCTGGGACTTGATAAAACTTTCCTTGTCTAATAAGATCGATGGGTTGAGCTGGTAGAAATCGTTCCATTCCTGGAACTTCCGGTTCTACGACGGGTTTCCAGAGCACAATTGGATCTCCGTACCATTCCTGGAATGTAAGAAGTATTAGAAACCTCTAAGTATCCACTAAATTATAAAAAAGAAATCATTTCTCTTAGATATGAACTAACAAAGAATTCAGATATAGTCTTGGTAAAGTTGGCTACAGGCTTTGATCTGAGACAAGCCAACATGTCTTTGGTGTTGTTAATGGGACAATTCAAAAGTTTCGCTTGTTTTTCTGCGATATCTCTTTGGTGGGTTGGATAAGGTTCCGTGAGTAAGGGGGAGCCACTCATATCGATCACCCTGTGGAATAGATTTTTGGACATTGGTGATAACATGTGCAAGAAAGTACTGAGCCCTCCGACGCTGCAGCCGCTGATGGTCACGGAGTTTGGATCTCCTCCGAAAGCAACGATGTTCCTTTGAATCCAACGAAGCGCTATTACCTGATCTTTCAAACCTAGATTTCCTGGAGCCAGTGAATCGCCCGTTGCTATAAAACCTATGAAATCCATATTTATATATTTTATATATCCTTGGATATATAATTGGAAAAATAGAAGGAAAATGATCATTGGTATATCGTGTGTTATAAATGCCTAAATGCCTAAATTACCTAACGTGGCAAGGCGATAATTTACAGTAACCAAAACGATATCGTGGTCCAGCAAATATTCGGGACCATAGTTAAAGCTCTGAGCGGAAGACTGGTAGAAACCGCCTGGATGGAAGAAAACCAACACTGGCAATGATACATTTTCATTTTTCGAAGACAGCTGCAACGTTTAAACAATTACATTCCATAAATATATATTTTATATCTTGATGAATTAAACACTCTGTAGACGAGCCGGAAAAAGTAGGACATACTTTTTTAGTATAGACATTTAAACGCAAGCAATCTTCAGATATTGGCTCGACACGCTCCACATTTGGACATGCAGGACCTTCTTCGGAGGCATCGAAAACATCGTTCCAATCTGCTGCTGGAGTGGCAACCTGTATTGTGAGAAAATTGTAAGGATTATTCCCACCGATGTGCCATAAATACTCGCATAAAAGGAAATACGCAAAGTACTCTTTGTTTGCATAGTTGAAGGCTGACGATAAGTTTGACAAATGTCCACGAACGAGGATGTTTCCAGGATTAATAAAATTACGATAGAGGCAAGAATGAGAAACTCACCTGAAAACGTCGTTCTCCTGTGGGAGGCTCGGCATATCTCACGCCACGGAAGGAATAAATCTCCTTTCCGAGCCTTGAAGTTAGAACAGAGCCGCGGATTTTTCCAATTGGCGCTACCGCTTCCGGATGTGCTGTGCAATATAAAACGTTACCGATTCCGATGATACAAAACAAAAGCAGTAGCTTCATCTTTTCGTTTGACAGTAATTCTTCTCTCATGAATATCGCTGTTTCCGTGAACGAGGAAAATCAGTCAGTTAAATTATTGTGGACGGTTGCTCACGTAGACGGTTAAGAGACACTGAAAGCTAAGAAAGAGAGAAGAACGTTTTATACTCTAGTTGAAGGGAAAAAGCTAACCATAATTATCTTAATATATTCGATCGTGAAAAACCAAAACATAATCATCATAGTTTTACAAATTACTGTAACATATTGTCCATCTGTTCTTTGATAGTGTATAATTAAATACCGCTAGGTTATCGAATGTATTTAGTAACATCTATAACGTGAAGAATATAAAATCGTAGACGACGTAGACTCGCCGGTGATGAAAAATTGGAAAAATTGAACATAAAAATATTTATCGGTGAAATAACTAATACTTGTACTCGCACGTATATCCGTATCTTCAAACTACTTTTCCTTATTTACTGGAACTCATTTTTATAGAAATACGTGTATTGCGATACCATAGAGTTACATAACTATCTGCTATTGCGTGCAAGTGATAAGGAAGAAACGAAAGAATCATCAATTGTCTGTATTCTTATCACGTCTTTAGTTTTGGAAAACAATACGAAAAACACGTGGAAGATTAGGCACTGTTTAAAAATGTGCCTTTTTTTACCGTCTTTTTTTGTTACTTTTTATTTCTCTATTTTTATTGTACATTTTATTGTACATAATTTTTGCGTCATCTAGATTTCTTAGTTTCACTTTCTACTCATCTTCAGTTTCTTCAGTTACCTCGTCCGTTTCTCCTTCTTCTTTTTCCTCTTTCTCTTCTTCTTTCTCTTCTCCTTTCTCTTCTCCTTTCTCTTCTCCCTCTTCCTCTTCTTCTTCTTCTTCTTCTTCTCTTTCTTCTTCAGGTCTTTCCAATTTCTTCCTTCGCTTTGTCCTTCTACGATGCTTTTTGCCCAATAATTTCTCAGCTCGTTTCCTTTCCATTCTCTGCTTTTTTGCCAAGTCTGGATAGATACAAGGGTCATAGGTTGCTTCGTAAATAATCGGATCAATCGGCCGCTTTTTAACAACCCGCTTCTTCTTCGGCTCCGGACATTCGCCCATTTTGTATGGCTTTGTTTTTGGTAAAACTTTGCCGTAAACCTGCGACAAAATCAATAAATGGTTCCGTGGCTAAATGTTCAGAAAAATTGATTTGGTTTTTAATGGTTTTTACTTAAATCAACATACAGGCATCTCGAATATCGGTCTACCATATTTATCTTTTTCACGCGGCGGTCTTTTTTCAACAGGACTTCGAGGTCTCGGTGGTTTCGCCAAAGATTCAACTCTTCCAGAAGCTGTAGCCGCCAAAGCACTTTTTTTCACGGTAAAAGCATCAGTTCTGATAGTCTTACTTTTATGAATATTTGGTTTGGCCAATTCTTTCATACGTGCGGATGCTGGAACAAACAATAACGTACACACAAGCTTGTCAACGTCGACTAACTTTTTATTAATTTCACCGCAGACCTTTAGCATTCAAAGCTGCTTTCGTGATGCGTGTGGGATCATCTATGCATGGATGCGGTGCGAATCTCCAAGCGTGTTTCTCGAGTTTTCTTCTTTTAGCTTTCCGCTCTTCCTCTTCACTTTCGTACACTTCCTCCTCTCCTTCATCCGCTTCTGTAACTTTTCCATTCTCACGGCTTTTAGATTTCTCTGTTCTCGTATCGTCGGGCTTACGCTTTTTTCCTCTTCTCTCGCCCTCTTCCTTTTCCCTGTATTCGGCGAAAGCTATTCTACCTCTCTCCTCCCCTTCCTCGATTATCATCTTCTTAAAAGCTTTTGACTGTTTGTCCTTTTTATCTTTTATCGTCTTGTACGGTGGTACAGCCAGAAAATCTAACCAAGGAGTAATCTAGCGATTCGAGAGATTAAAAAGCTGTTTACCGTGCTTATTCGTGAATGGAATATGCACGTGGACATGAAATTAATGTAAATGTATTTTAGAAGTGGTCACCACTAGAAATGACAAAAGTAATCTGTATTGGATCATTGCTTTTCAGAATCTACTCTTTTCGTTAACATACTGTTTTAACGCGCAAGTAATTATTTCATAAGCTTTCAAACAATTTCTCTCGAAAAACTTCTTTAAGTTGCGCCACTTCGAATATACACGTACAAAAATTCATGTGCACATGCGATATAGATTCATTTTACTTGATAGGAAAGCGCAGTTCGTTTTATGCCATAAGGCGTAAATAGCTCCTCTATTTCTTCTTTGGTTAATTGTTCAGGACAATCGAGCAATTTCTTCGCTAAAGCCAGCTTCCTCAGTCTGTCTTCGTCCAGCTTTCGTTTCTCATGCAACATCAATCTGGATGGTTTGCATTCTTCGGGAAGAATGACACGGGGCAGGCTTAGCTCGATGATTCTTTGAGACGGCTGGTAGTTTAACGCTGCTGGTGAAACCTTGTAATAAACTCGACCAAAATCGACCAGTTTTATATTTGGTAGAGACAACAAAATCGTTCTCTTAGATGGAATTGCTTTCAGTGCCGCTTTCGAGATGGCGAGGTCTAATTTGCAGTGAATGCTTTCGTCGATTCTTTCCTTCGGTTTGGACAACATTTTGATTCTTTTCTTTAGCTGAGATAATGGCTTCGACGGACGAACCTGAGGAATGTTACACGTTGTAACGTGTAAAAGTATGTACAAATCTTTCAAATTTAGAATTTTTCGTATAATATTTAAATAAAGGTTTGTTTCGCCTATTGGATTATCAGGTATAAAATAAAAATCTGCTTTTTCAATAAATGCATAAATATCCGCAATTTATTTACGACTAACTATAGGCTCAGGTTGAGGAAGCTTTTTCGGTATAGCATTGAATTTCGCCCAGGCATTGAAACGCGCCCAATCAGCCGGTGTCGCCAGCCATCCTTTCAATCGTAATTTACGTTTAATTTTTCTAAAAGTCACAATGTTAAAAAGATTTTTATCTACTCGACACGCTGACAAAAAGATTACGCTTACTTCCCCTTGAGTCTCGACTTATCTACTTTTCTTAATCTGCCAGCTGCTGCTCTAGGTGATCCGCTTCTTGTTGTTTCCTTCGTTTCCTTCGTAATTTGACCTTTCCTCGCAACCGTGCTCCTTACGGGTTTTTTTACTTTTACAGCCATTTTTTACAACTTTTCAGAACTAGTTTCTAATCTCTACACGAATGCTTCATAACATGGGATTAGATTCGAGAGAATAATAGAAAATAAACCTCTTTATCAACGACACCTTCGCGAATTTAGCTCATTGTACAGGTTAAATGTTTCTTCAATTTACCAACGAAGAAGAGAATATTAAGATGGTTAACGGTGATACTTTTCGTTGTGCGTTACGATTTTGCGTTAAATTTCTCATTTTCGATATAGCTATTTCATTTTATGCGACTTTATTGTATCCGTGTTACGTGAACCGAGGCTGCCACGTTTTAAAAGAGATCAAGCCTTCGTTTGTTTTTCGCCGATGCAAATGTCCGTGTTAAATAGAAATTAGTAAATATCGAGACATTTTATAGACGTTCTTTATTTTATATTACATCGTTTATGGATTATGAGTTATCTTTTTTCCTGAAACGCGGATTTCGCGTTGCATTTTTTCATCATTTGTAAGTAATTCTCGAAATCGTCGTATGGCTCGGCACGAATCGTGCAATTTTTCGGTTTCGCGAGTTCATGCAATCGTTTTGAACATCCTTTATTCCTAGCCGCAGTGATACGAGCATAAGTATCCAGTAAAAATCTCTTCTTCCTCGATTCTTGCGCGTCCTTCGATTGTTCGCTGCTATTTATCAATTTATGATGTCCTTGTTTCACTAAGGAATATTTATTATACAATTGTATAATTCCGTAGTAATAAATTTCGACATTTCTTTATGTACACCTGATACGTTCAAGATTCTTTCTAACTCGGGAACGAGAACTCTCCAAAAATCACACTCAGGCTTTAACAAACCACCGCGATTACAAGCGATAAAGGAGATTTAAACGAATAATTCGCGATAGCAAATAAAGAAAGATTTTAAACAGGCCAAAAATGCAAATTAGCAAAACAATACATTGAAGCACTTAGTTTAGGGGGTTGTTCAAACTGATGAGGGTTCGATAAAAAATGAAGGTAACGCTTGGAGGGTTCTCTTTAAACTACCTGTATTTATGGGAGAGCTTTTAACGCTAAAGTTGGATATATTAGACACGTTTGTGCCTGGTTTTCGTTTAGGTTGGGCTAGTTTGTTTAACGAATCCGTAATTTGATAAGATAATGCTCCACGTTTTACCTGTAATGTTAAGACGACTAAAATATTCTTCGTGTATCTTTATGTTTGCGATACTTACATTGAAGGCATTGTAGTTACTGGTTTTATCGATTCTTTTTCTTGGTTTCGCTAGTTTTTCAAATCTTGGTACATTATCTTGACAAACATCCGTGTTCATATCGTTAATTTAATCGTAAAATTGTTATCTAAATCGAGACTCGGGAAGCTGTAATGTAAATCGTGAAAGCAACAGAAAATTTAGAAAAATTTACCTTAGGGTTAAATGTTGATTGGTGACAGTGAAGCGATCATAAAATAAAGATGTTTGCAAACTTCAATTCTTTCTTGGTAATAGATCCAACAAACAGTAACCGTGAACAAAATTTCAAGTTCCCCCACAAAATCTGCCGATTGGCGAAATTAATACTCTAAATTTCCGTCCTACGATGTTGAAATTCGAGTAAATACAGCGTTTTCCCGTTTTCCTAGTTTCCTCATTTTCACTAATATAATTTTCCACATAATAGACACGAAATAACGCCAAAATCTGTTATCAAAAACCATCGTAATAAACGAAGAACTTATTGGTGCGCTCCTAGAAGAGTAAAAAGTACAGTTATTGTAGGAAATTTCGACACTTCGTTGACACAGAAGAAAAATATAAAAAAAGTAAAATACTAATGGATACTTTCATATCTTCGTATTTTCGATAAGTTTTTTTTTAATTTACCAATAACAAATACTTCGAGATAAACAACAAATAAAATGCTATATTTATTTACAGGGGCATCATAAGAAAAAACGAAAAACTATGAAAAGCCTAAGACGCATTGATATCTTAGCGCAGCCTAAATCTATAAAACATAAAGTAGAACATAAGAATCATTTTTCTACAGTAAATATTTATCTTTCTAGCTTGAAAATTTATTTCGTGGTACTAATATATAATTTTTTGGTACATCAAGGTAAGCAAATCTGCTCAAAAGTATCAAATTCCAAAAAGGTCTATTTCATCGGATCAAAAAAGTACCATTTACCAACGTAAAACATTCAGAATAAAAAAGTTTAAAGGTACACGTGAGTTGCCAATGAACTCGACGT